GGTGCCTGGGGGGGAGGTGTTTGAAGCATCAACGCTTTGGTTGTTGTTATGTGCCATCGAGTCGGACCTGACTCATAGCGACCCCTCCTTGGATTTCCAAGACAGTATCACTACAAAAGTAGATTGCCCAACCTTCCTTCTGAGGAGTGGCTGGTGGGTTTGAACTGCCAGCCTTCTGGTTAGCAGTCAAGTGCCTTAGGCACTACAGTCCCAGAGCTCCCAATATAAATATATATATGGTTATAAATAAGAGCCATCCTCAAAAGTGCAGTGTTCTGAAAAATCTCCTTGTGTCCTCTCCACCTATTGCCTTGGTGGGGTTGACTATTATTCAAAAGCTCCCGTCTTCTTTGCCCAGAGGACAAAGCCACTTCCTGTCCCCATGTCTGTGCGCTCCTAAGTGGGCCACCTCCTCCAGTGCTGCCATTCCTCAGTGTTGGGCTCAGTGCAGGGAAGGCTCCCCTGTCTGCTAACCATGGCATAAATCCAGATTGACTCCCATCTCAGGGCCATTTTGAGGATTATTAACCAGCCCATCAAGTGGAGGCCTTTGGAAAGTGTCAAAATGGCTGAGGCTCTTGTTAGGTGGACAGGAAACTGAGTCCCCTGGCTTCCAAAACACTCCGGCTGAGCTCTGCAGGACCAACTCTCATGGGGCGAAATAGCAGCGTGTGTGCAGGTTGCATTGAGCTCATCAGCTGGCTGTCTGCCCCACCTGCAGCTGAATGTTTTTGATCTCTTTCTTTGTTTCCTTAAGGGACAGTGAGGGTGAGGAGATAAGCGGATCTGGATTTCAGACACCAAAGAGCTTTTGTTGGTGTTTTTAAGAGAACTGAATACATTTAAATTTTCCCTCTTGACACCAGCCTATTGACTCAAAACATAGTTCTGAGATTATACCTTCCTGATTTTTATTTGTAAATCTAGAAGGTCTATGAAAACCCATAGGGAACAGTGTTTTTCCCCTTAGGTGTTATCTCCATAATAGAAAAACTAACTGAGCATTTATTGAACACCTATTATGCACCTATTATGAAGCTCTGGTGGCCCAGTGCTTAAGATATTTGACTGCTAACCAGAAGGTTGGCAGTTCAAACCTACCACCCACTCCATGGAAGGAAGATGGGGCAATCTACTTCCATTAATATTTACCGCATCAGAAACCCAATGGGGGTCTCCATGAATTGGAATCAACTCCATGGCAGTTTGGTTTACTTTGAGAGTTTATTATGTACAGGCAGTAAAAAGGTCTAAGAGTTAAGGTCTAAGAGTTCTGAGAGTGTCTTTAAGTCTAAATTGTAGGTAAGTGGGAACAGATGCATTTTTTTTTTTTTTTTT